AGAAAGCCAGCAAGACGGTGTCTAGCCTAGCATGAATTATGACCAACACTATGGGACCAAGAACAAAAAAGAGATGAGTTCTTCTAGAAGCAGTCCACTTGGTACTGATTTATGGAGCGGAGATATGGGCAGACATATTAAATCAGAAGATCTACCGGCGAAAAATCGCAGCAGTACAGCGGCGAGGCGCTCTCAGGGTTGCCTGCGCCTACCGCACAGTTTCCGAAGCGGCTGTATTGGTCATGGCGGGAGCCACGCCCATCGACCTACTCACGTTTGAGAGAGCAAAACTCTATGACGCTTAAAACAGTGACGAAAACATGAAGGACGCAAGAACGAGGATAAAGGCGGAAACGCAGCAAGAATGGCAGGACTGATGGACATCGGGAGAGATGGGCAGATGGACGGCGTGCCTGATCCTAATCATCAACGTCTGGCTTTCTCGGAAACAGGGGGACACGGACTTCTTCCTGACCCGGCTATTGACGGGACATGGGTAGTTCAATGCCTATCTTTTCAAGATGGGTTTGCACAGCACACCGACGTGCAAATATTGCCCAGACAAAATTGACAACGCCGAGCACACGTTTTTCGAGTGTGATCGGTCGAAGGACGACAGAAGCAGCACTGAAGAAACAATAGGCAACACGCTCTCCCCTGAGAGCTTGGTAACCTGCATGATCAAAAAGGTAGAAAACTGGTCAGCTGTCGCAGCCTACGCGCAGCGTCTTTTAAAAGAAAAAATTGCAGAAAGGGATTAGAAACCAGTAGTCACAAGAAGTAGGCGTCGTGAGACGCAACATGGACTGGATTGAAGTAAAGCTAACGCGGTTCCGTTCCAGTCATCTCCGTACCATCCACGGGGGAAGAGAGAGGTGTTTTTTTCTAGTGGGTAAAGATCCCACACTACCGACCATCATCTTTCAATGATAGCGGTGTCTTTCGAAGATTTTTTCCGCTTCTCTATAAAACAAACACACACAAACAACACACACACACACACACACACACACACACACACACACACACACACACACACACACACATACATACATACAGACATAGTGACAACAACGCGGGGGTAGTCAGGGAAGCTTCCTGTGACCTTCGAACGTCGAGATCTGATGAAAACTCGATTTTTGCAAAACGGGGTGAAAACAATAACTTCCCGATTTTTGAAAATCTGAGATTTTTAGCGGGAAGTTAAAAATAGTTAACTGTCTATAATTACGTTTATCATTAAGCCAATTCAATTGTAAGACTTAAAAATGTTGAATCAACCAATGTTTTAGGTCACTTAGGAATCGAATTATTTTTAACATGGCAACTACCCGAACATGCATGCATGTTATTTGCAAATAAAACTACAGAATTTCAAGGAGCGGCAACATCATGGGAGTTTTGGAATAGTTGGTTCCTACAACCTATTTTTGGAAAGCACGGTGACTACTCGCATACTATGAAGCATCGGATACACGAACTCAGTCGCAAACAGGGATTTTCACACTCGCAATTGCCGCATTTTACAAAGAATCAAATTAGTACGATTCAAAATTCAGCAGATTTTTTGGGAATTAGTTTTGATCATTCAGTGACTATTAAACAATTGCCTCACCATCTCAATAAAAGTGTTTCTTTTATGGAGGATACAGGAATGACATCAATTTTTTCAGCAACGCCTAAGGCTAGAGTAATTTTTTTAAATTTCCAGTTACTTTTACGATTTAATAAATAATCAATTAATTAAACTCTTTATTTTTTGTCAGCGTACGCCTGCAGACATGGCAAGAGCGATAAAACACGTGTTAAAAGTGTACAAAAGTATTCTGTTCATCATTATCACCAAAATTGGTTACGAAGATAATGGAGAGCTACACGATAAACACCGAGCGATTTTTTATCACCACACTCTTTATCACGTACTAAAACTCATTTCTGAGGGAGTTAATATCCGCGGATATTTTGCCTGGTCGCTTACTGACAGTTTTGAATGGACCAGAGGCTACTGCAAAAGATACGGAATTTTTTCTATCAACTTTACAGATCCTGAATTGACTAGAATTCCAAAATTATCTTCGAAACTAATAACTGAAATTTATAAAAATAAATCCGTCGAACATTCTTTTTCTCTTGTTACCTAAAATGTTTTTTACATTCAATTAAATTAAAAAAAAAAACATTGTATTTTTAATTGCAAAATTAAATTCTTTAAATACAGTAATTAGATGTACAACACATAAATAGAAGTAATTACCATAAAAAGTCAATCAATAATTTCGATCGATAAAAAAATATTTTTTTTTTTCCAATCAACAAAAAATAAAATAAAAAAGAAGGTCATATATAAATAAATATCAATAGATCTGAAGTGAGAGAGCCGATATCAGCTTCTTCCATTAAAGATTCTGAATGCAGCGGAATAGTCATAAGCCTGGGAAGGTATTTACATCGTCTAGATGTATACCACACTGCACAACCACTTACAAGGTACTTGTAGCAACTTACGGATAGGAGAGTGAGGCACCAATATGATGCAACGCTTGATTAAGATCATTACGAGTGATACGCGGATCGTCATCCTCGCTGCCGCGATCGATCAGTTGGATCCGCCTACGTCGATGATTTACCCGCGGGGGTCCCGTCCGATACTATCGGACCTTTTTGCATTACATATATCCTTCGTATATTAACTCTTTTATCCCCTACTCTGGCAGTTGGATGGTAACACCGACTTCAGAGTCAAAGATCATTTCAGCTCTTTACCTCGTCTCCATCATCCTCAGTTTGTCAATTACTCCCATTACCAGCTCGAACACCAGTTTAACGTGTTATGTGTAAATATATAAGCAATAAATAATAAGTAATGACAAACAAGATGACCCTCATATAATCCCAAGGCTTTGATGTCATCCATTAATTATAAATATCATTAGAATTCATTATTAACTTAATAATTATTTAAATTATTTATGTCAGTCAATTAATGTTTCTTCATTTATTTAAAATGTCTTGGATACTTTTAATGATTTGTAATTGTGGTGAGTAAGATGTCAATTTTTGATGATGAAAATAAAAATTTCCGCTGGACTAAATAAAAGGATTAAAGAAATGGAGAGTAATCAGCGAAGGAAGTGGGTGTTGCCCGTCATAATTCACTCGCATGTCAAGGTGTTTTCTCAACGATCTACATCATCATGGCGATGAAGATGTTTACGTTAACGTTTCAGAACCTCTGACTTATTCAGAGAACAGAGAAAGATACAAATGCTTTTTACTCTCAACTCTCTGGATGATACAGTATGCATATATCTATACTGTACTAAAGACTAAACCCACAGAGATTAACTTGTGGCATTATACTTCGTATGGGTAATGCCCCGAGCGGTTTAAAATCGCTCACTATTAAGTGGAACTATATACGACCTAAACATTTTTCTCATTTGCTCGAGGTTGTGTACTTTGCCGTCTTCATTATTCATTTTTTTAACAAATTATTCTCGTGTTAAATAAAGCTATAACGACTTTGGTTGGGTGAAAAATTTTTAACACAACTGCTATACCATGCACTGATATTATCGTTGTTATTATTATTATATATGATAATATAAATATTAAATTGAAATGCATCCAGCATGAGACACATGTCGGGTCAGATAAAAGAGACTTGCCCCTTCGACAATGCTGTCTTGGACGATAGGTAGCTGAGAAGCTCCTTCGCATCCGGTAAGAAACTTTTTCAAGGAAGCCTGAATCGAGCGACACATATCAATTATTCTTCTGCATAGCGATGATAAATTTATTTATCCTCGACGCATCGAAATTTCGTAATAAGAAACTCTAAATTCGCCGGATTGTGTATTGGTATTTTTATTTTTAATTTTAAAAAATATTTAAAAGTCACTTTAATTTTGAGAATATAAAAATTCATTAAATTCCGATTGTTGAAAAAAAAAATAAAAATAAAGATTGCGTAGACTTAAACAAAACAAATTGATGTGCAAGCTCACGTGTTTAAAACTCACGTAGTATTGAATTGTCTTCTGATACATACAATACAGAAAGACACAAATATAAACCCGGGAATAATATAATGTAAGCGTAATAAAACCCCATCAGAGGCACGTTCTACGCACAGCACGCGCTCTTGTCAATGTAAAGCGTTAAAGCAATACGTGATCGAATTCGATGAACGACCGTCATTTTGTGGACGTTTTTCGAATGTCAAAGGACATATCTTCAATCCGTGTTATTCAATTCAGCAAATTCCATTGAAAGTAAAAATATATATTTATTTTTCATTTATAATCTTGGTTGGAATAAACTACGCGAATAGCGAATAAATAAAAGTGTATTAACGAAGGAATGAATGAATGAATGAATTATTTTCTCACGAATAGGAGCCGGGATGATTATGAGGATGAGCCTGTAGTTTGCGAGGATCTTTACTTGGCATGGGCTCTTTAAAATAATATAACGAGTTACATTATATATAATAATATAAGTGCTCGTGGAAGTGTGGAAGGTAAGGGTATCGAGGACTCGTTGAACGCTCAGCTTGGCTCGGGTCTTGGGTTTACACACCAGAGCACATTGGAGTATTGGAGTAGAGCTTCCAATGTATCGCAGAATTAGATTACGTATCTTGCCGGCCGTGATTTATTTATCGAGCGGGCTCCTTGAGGCGTGCTTGCTGTTTCAACACCTCCCCGACGCGTGTATTTACGATTATGAGAATTACACAAGGCAATTAGAGTCTGTCGGGACCTGGCAATGGTAAATACGGATAATCGTGCGTCGGCCTCCAATCTCACCGTAAATTATAGTCCGCGTGATTCGCGAGTTGAGCCAACAGCCAACCAAGCCACCACTAGCTCTTGAAAATATATAATAAAGAAACCGACTAGTATGACTTAAATATCCATCTTACAATTTTTACATCATTTTTTTACAATAATAATTCCAAATTTTATTTATATTTATATCTAAAAATATAAAATTAGATTTTAATCGCTCTACTCGGGATTATTTTTTCCTATCTGTACTCTGTACCGGCTTCAAGGAGAGTAGATGAGTGTGATGACGTGAGAATATCGTAATAATATGCTGCCGATAAAATCCAAGATAAATCGCGTACCAAGTTAGTTAATAATTCGATAATGCTAGTAAAGTTAAATCTTGTTTGATAATATTTTTTATTTTAGTTGTTATTATTATTATGTGATGCATAAATGAGTGTTGAGAGATTTCGAAGGAGATTTTTGAGATCTGAGAAGCTAAATAATAATATCGATGCTCGAGATCTAGCAACTGAGCCAGACGCAGTTACTGTGTAAATTTATGGCAAGTGTACTCGCGTGATCACACGCTCGAATCTCTTCTCTCTCGTCATTTATTATTAATATTATATATTAAGAATAAGAATCGAGCTAACTTTTATTCTAGCAACCTTTTGTTAGGCTGCAATTCTCAGGCGTTTGCAAAGGAAGAAAGGCTGAGACTCTACGGGTATTTTCTTTTATTTATTTTATTACTTATAAATTCCAATGCCCGAGAAATTTTCAAGGCGATATGATAGTACGGGTATTATCAATGTACATAATTTTTATTTAACACTTTGATATTGGGTATTTACTTTAAATTGATAAATGGATTTAGAGAAAAAAAAAAACAAGAAGTAAAGAGAAAAAGAATGATTTACAATGGGCGAGTATGGTGTTTATGTATATTATTTATATTATTTATACTCTCGGGTTATGTATATTCTTTGTAATGTATATAGATAACTGGTACTTATAGTTAATACTCGAGTGTGGATGAGTCTTAAGATCAGATGCACGCGATCTTTTCCAACTTCTTATTCGCTTAGTATATCAGAGTACTCTTTTGACCTCGGTGTATTTTGCTGGAACCGATTTCTGTGGGTACTCGACTTATAAAATGTTAAGGAAGAGATGAGCGAGATGAAGATGAAGAACCAAAAAAAAAAAATAACCAGAAGAAGACGAAGAAGAAGAAAAAGGAAAAAATCAAGGGAAGGCTTCATGTAGAGCAGAATTTTTAAATGAAAAAAAAATAAAAATAAAAACTGGCCTTCCAATTTTTGCGTGAAGAGCATCACAATAACCGTGAGAGAAAAAGTTTTGAATCTGAAGGCAAAATGAGGAAAGCCATTGAACACAGTATCCAGAGCACGTCGCGACTGCTCATTGTATCCCGAGTGCGTGTGTCTGTAGGCATTTTAATATTTTTCCATCTTTAATATATTCTGCTCTATTCCATTCTATTTATTTATTTTCATTTTATTTTGAATAGAGCAATAAGTTTTAAAGAAACGAGTGCCGGTGAACTCGCGGTGCAGAAAAATGAGAAAAATAAATACGAGATGTAGATGTAGATGGAGCAGTCAGAGTTGGAGGTGGAGGAAGTAGAAAAGCGTGCGATTTACGATCTTTTAATCTTGGCGACCTATCTCTCCACCGCAGGGGACAGGTGGGCTACCGAGTTTTCTTGTACGCCCTCATCATCATCTCCCATACCCGTTGCTGGTGCGCTAGTCCCAGTCATCTCGCTCGTTATCTGATTCATAATAACTCTGTCCGAGTACGGAAGAATTATTTATTTACCGAGCATGACCATGCACTTTGTAACAATCATTTTTATGGTTTTCATTATAATTTACATTCATTTTCCCTTTTTTTTTTTTTTTTTTTTATCAATTTGCCTATTAGTTTTCGTCAGGTGAATACCAATTTTATTTAGAACAAAAGGAAGGAATCGACGTGATGGAACTTGAGGGGCAATAATCGGGCCTCAATTCTCAATGCTCTCTATATTTTATTTAATATATTACACTCGACTTTACCAAATCTGTACCGATGACGTACTCGCCACAACGCTTGCTGAATACTTAGTTGTCACTTTTTTTTTCGCTATCGTTTATTACACTGATTGCGTAACTTGAATTTAGATCATCCATTCGAGTGTCAATGATTAAAATAAATTCTAACAAAATCAAGTTCGTAAAAAAAAAAATGATAAATTATTTTTGTAATTGGGAAAAAAATGTAGGGCCTTGAGTCGGCGAGGTGGCGACAGTAGATGGCGCTTGGTCGGAATAGGTAATGAGCTGATG